CGTTACTAAAAGAAAACTTTCAGCCAGTTTAAAAAATAAAACTTCAGCTCTAAGCTGAAGTTTTCCGTTATAAAATGAAAACAACTTCAGCATTTAGAGTAACCCGAAGGTAAAATTTCAGCTCTAGACAAGCTTTGCTAGTATAATTAAAATAAACGTTGCAGCCTCTAGGAGCTTGAGAGTTTGTTAGTAACCCGGGCGAAACTTCAGCTCTATAAAGGGGAAGCTTGGACCAAGTTTTTTTTTAAACGAAAAAAAAGAGTGCGGACGAAATCACAATCTTCTTAATGTTGGTTATATGATGGAGGAATGTATTTTAAAAATAAACCACCAAAAGAAAACCAAAGTAAGCGGTTAGCTACCACTGTTTCAAAGAACCGAAAAGATAGCCTAAAAAAGGAAAACGGAACGGCCTGGAAGGCAGCCAGCCAATAGGACCAGGCCCATTTAGCAATAGTACATCTCGAAACAGGACCGGTCCTTCGAGGTACCGCAATCGGAGACATAAATATGACAGCCCCAAATATCGGATGACGAATCGATAAATGAAATCTGAATATAAGAAACGAAAAAACACCTATTAATTGAAAATATTAGTGAGAAATACTCAGACATAAGAAAGCATAATGAGTAATTAGAGAATTCGAATATCAATAAAGAAAAGGTGAAAAGTTATGAGATTTTCCAGCGTCAAAGGTGGTCAAAAATCGAGATATTTGTAAATTAAAGGTGCGGAGAAGGCAAATATAACCCTCTCTTTTCAAATTTATTTTCCTTGGAAAATATAAATATATGACCGATAAAATCTTCAAATATAATTCTCCTATATATTGGCAGTTTTCAACGCGCAGCGATTCAGAATGTTTTACATTTTTCTTGGATAGTCGAATATCAGGGTTGATGTATTTTGCTTTAGACTCTAAATAAAGACCCAAAGTGCATAGGTTGGTGTTTCTCTTCTATTACCATCTCTATTAGCTACGCTGAAATATGCTTGGGTTGTTCTTTGCAGATCTGAGCCCTATAACTTTAAAATCTCTTAAGTAACGTTTTATATTTAGTCTTGGGGTTAACTAGGCATGTAATTTTGACTCTGATAATGAATAGCTTATTATCAGTTAGGAGTGAGTTTATGGGGGCCATGTTAATTTTAAGATCTCAATTACTAAATAGCTAAACTTGAAAAAAAAAATTATCCTGTTCCAGTTTACAATTTGTAATCACTAACTTAACTTATAGTTTTTGCGAGGACTATATTGATACCAATTTTGCTCCGTGTATTGCTTCAAATTTTTTTGTTTTTGAGAAGGCAATTGTGGCATCACTTTAACTGCCCAAAGCTGTTCTATATTAATGCAGTTGGCTATAAAATATTATACTTTGCCTAAAGGATGAATTTTGGGGAGAGAATAAATGGTGAAACTTGGCCTGGAATAATAGATTCTTTTAATGTGAGCCGTTCAAGTTATAATCACTATGAGATCATTTAACCAATCTATTAGTTCTAATTGCACTATTTGCTTTTTTAACCAGACTGCACCTTCTTTCAAATTACCCAATGGTTAATATTATCGCATTGTTCATATATATTCTAAATCTATTGCTCTTTTTATATTTTTTTAACATCATTGATATAAATCGAACTAAATTTAATGACGGTGAAAAAAGTAATTCTTTTTAGGTGTTTAATTGTAGAGGAGGAAGTAATTTAATAATTTTTTCCATTAAAGTTTGAAGATTGCTTTTTTGGAGTTGAATCTCGTTTTAACATTAAATAACGATTAACTCAACTAGTATATCTTATAAGAAGAAAAATGGCCAATTTTGTTTTAAAGTAACAAACTATGAAAAGATGAATCTTATTTAAAAATACATATTATAAAAAACATGACCATTTTTTTACTGAATTCATTTTTGTTTGCATTTTTATATAAGAGAGTGCATTCTTCATAATGATAGCAAAAATTGGATTACACATAATAATAAGGCGAATTATAAGGCTAAGAATTATCTCAGGATTTTGATAGTTTTTTTTAGTATCTCCTTTGTTACTGATTAATCTGATGTGCATAGAATATTTAAATAGCATACGAATAATAGCCACAAAAACCTCATAATTCAAATGAGAATTCGAATTTAGAGAGTTTTGTATACCACTTAACCATTATAACACCGATAGAATGGAGCCTGAGATAATTAACGCGATCCATCTATCTAAATAAAGCTGTGAATGATGCACGAATTATGTGGCAAATATATCCTTTAATGATGGTGGGTGAGTGTAGTTATCTCTCTCTATTGCATGGCTGGTTTAGATTTTTAATCACTGTCGTACATAAACTTGCGAATTACTCTGAGGGCTTTTTGCGTTCAAATCTCACACGACAACTTAGTGGATTTAAGGTGGTATTTAAATTTTACACCAGCCACTATTCCTTTTCTGTTGATGAATGATGACTCCTTACTTCCTCTCACATTATACTGGCACACGGACGTACCCCATTTCAGTCGGGCGGGTTAATAGTATGTGCATTGATGACCGTTCGCGCCGTGCTCCAGGCCTCAAATTTATACCAGTGAGTACAATCCACACCAGGCGTGGCATATCTTCAGGTTTAAAGCAATGTCACTCACTTTTTTGGTGTATCATAGGTACCCAGCATCATAAGGTGATAAACTACCTTTGAATACACATCTTCTTGCGATGGATCACAAAACACAAGGAAGTGGCTCTAATGAACGGCTCAGAAAATGAGAGACTTGAGAGCCTGCACTCACATGCTAATGTTTTTGGGTCCTCTCTCAAAAGTTCCTTAACATTATCCTGACTATATTATTACCAGTGGAGCGTTTCCGATTAGATGTATGTGATGGGGTACAAGTTGATACTGACGCACCAACTAGCATAGCTTAAGTCAGACAAATCATAAGTGATGGAAAGGAAATGGATATATAAGGTGTAAAGCCCTCTAATTGTTGTTGAGATTAGCTTGGTGCGCTAGTTTCATGTGTCATGAAAGGCATATTCTATGAGTCTAAATGAAACCATAGGTCTGTAGATATAGAAGAGTAAGAGGATTGAATTGTTACAAACCACTTAGTTCGTGTGATCAACTGGTTCGATGTACAAGATTTCTTGAAATTGAAGTGTTGGCAGACAATGTCCAATTCATGAATTCAGTATGGTCTCTATAACTCAATTGGAGGTTATTTCAATTAAATAATTTATTGGTAAAATTTGTATAATAAATAGCATTTTTCACTGGAAGTAAGCGGAGATATCAAGCTTTATTTAAGGCACAAACTTGCTCATGGTTTAATTTGTTGATTCTTATGAATTATATGTCTACTATTTTCAGTATAGATATTTGCATGATTGGAAATTTATTTTCTAATCCGAGTGATGCCAATAACGGGACCCCGGTCTAAGTGCTGTGCATGTGCAGTGAGTTAAGCTACGACAGGATATTCATCTATTTTTTGTAGTTTGCTTATTGTCATG